TATATTGAAAACTAAGTTACAACATCAAATGTAGGTTCAAAACTGCTTTTATGATCTTATCTTTTGGAGTTCTTTATATTGTATGCTGTCAAAATCAGCTGGTTTTAATTTCTAAAAGAACATTTTGCTTAAGAAAATTTTTAATGTGATCGTCATATGCTTTTTAATACTGACTTTTAAAATATTTGAGACCCCTAGGGGCTCCTTTTGATTAGATAAATGCAACTTACAGATTTGATGAGGATTTCGTTAAGGCAAATTTACAGTCTTCATAGTATTTTTTTATTATATGTCACCAAAAGTTTCTTTGTGCTTGCTGTCTTTGAACAGCAATCTATGTGACAATAAATTCCAAAATGTAGGACTGATACTTAAGAAGTTTAAACTTCTGTAATAATCACAAACACCATGGTGCCAGAGAGGTAATTTAAGCGATCAGCTGCCTGAGTGGCTGAGATAAAGCATGCTTCTCAGGCCCCTGAGATAAGTTCTTCATTCATATGCCTTGGGTGCTCTCAAATCATTCCATTTTAAGGGGAAGAAATATCTAAATAACTATGCTGTTATTAAATTTTTTAATTCCATGTTTAAACCGATGTCATTGTTGCCTTTAACATTGTGAACTCCTTGGAAAACTTTGACGTTCTAGATCAAGAATCATCAATCTTTGTAGAAACCCAAATAGGAGATATTTTAGGCTTCCCTGGCCAGCAGGAAATATTCATCTCTGCTGTTGAGGTGTGAGAGTAGTCATAGTGAACAAATGAGCATTGCTGTGTTCCAGCTTTATGTGTGGACACTGAAATTTGAATTTCAGATAATTTTCAGTTGCCATAATTTTGTAATGCTTTTTGAACCATTTAGAAATGTAAATACCATTCGTAACTGAGGTGCCATACAAAAATAGGTGGTAGATCAGATTTGTTCTGCTGGCTGAGGATTGCCAACCCCTGCTATAGATGGTTAAATCCACTGGTTGGGGAAATCCGCTTTAATACTACATTCCTAAACTCCGCTACCAATTCTATGACATCATCCCAAAATTCTTAACTGATTTGCGCTTATGCCTGCTGACAAAAGATGTTCCATTTGTTACCAGCAGCTTCTTTGTGACCCCAGTCATGTTGCTGCTTTGTCCCACTTTGCACATAACTCACAGAAGTAAATAAAAAGACAGTTTCGCCCTGCCTGCTATGAAACTAATTGTCCTTTGTTAGGTGATGTAGCGTGGTATCATGGAAATAAAACTGGGAAATGGAAACCAGGCTGTACCTGGTTCTACCACGACTCAAAATAGCCAAGTTTCTCAAACCTCCAAGGCTCCATTTTCTCTCCTGCTCATCTGGAAGAAGTATTAAGAGGAATATTGTAATAATAGATACGAAATCACTGGTAAAGTAAAAAGTGTAGCATAAACATTGCCATTGTGGTGATGGTTGCACTTTATTATTTACTCTCACATGTGACTTCTGGCAGGCCTCCCTATATGTGCCGATATATCCCTCAGGTATGGATTAGGTTTGGATTAAGTATGGATTAAAGTTTGCACATAAACTTTCTCTAGGCATTTCTTTTTTTAAAGGTTTTATTGGGGAACTGGGGGAGGGAATAGCATTGAGAATCGGGGAAGGGAGACAGACAAGTTGCTGTCATTTTGTTCTTCAGTCTAGTTGTGGAGGACGTTGCTTCACTGGCCCAAGTTGGCACCATCATTGCGCTCTTCCCGGGTGAGGCAGTTGCTCACCAGCCATTGGACGGCTGCTCACGGAGGCTCACAGCAGCCCACTGCAGCCCACTGCAGATCCACTACAGCCTACACCATCACCGGTGACTCACCACAGCCCAGCTCCAGGTCGAGCTGTTGTTCACCATCTTAGCTGTAGAGGGCGCAGTGTCACTGGTCCATGTAGGCTCCGAGCTAGTGGCCCTGCTACTCAGAGCTCGCGCTCCCAAGCCAACTCTTAACCAATGAGCCACTCAGCTGACCCATACTTTAAAACTACACTTATCTCCCTTCTCTGTATAGATGTACAAAGTCCATTATTAATAATACAATGACATTTTCAAATTCTAGTCCATGTATTTTTCATCAGTCTTCTATGAAGGTAGAGACTTTGCCTGTTTTGTCCCTGCTCTATTCCCAGTACCCAAAACAATGTCTGGAATATTTGGGTTTCATAAATAGTTCTGAGTGAATCAGTGACATAAATAATCCCATATGTTCACTTGCTTTTCATTATCAAGCAGAATATAGAAAGCTCATTATAAATAAAATGTTTTTAAATACATAAGATTGCAAAGGAAATGTACTTTATGCAGGTGTACTAAAATACAGTTCTATCCACAAATCCTTTAGGGTTTGTGGACCCTGGTTTTTAAAATATGGAAGAATTTTTAACTAGTATCAGAAAACACAGAATCCATAACTATAAGTTGTAAGACTACTTTAATAGGATAAAAAAACAAATGCAAGCCTTATATGATCTTTTTAAGAAATCCTTCCTTTGCACTTTGAAATTATATATAAAAAACAGTGGACTTTTTAAAGCCTATTTGGTTAAATTTCTTTTACTTACAACAAGAAAAAACAGATTTTGGCAAGCTTATTCAAAAAAGACATTTGTCTGGGAAGATGCTGAAGTATCTCGTGGGATTGACAGGTGGGAAGGATAGGAACAAGGGTAGCTCTGGGGAGTTCAGCTTTCTCCAGAGTAGAGCCACTGATGAGGGCTCCCAGTCATGTGTCCAAATTTCAAAATACTAAAAGAGAAGCCGGGTTGATCCACCTTGGATCACAGACGCATGCTGGTATTGGTCTGCCAAAGTCAGAGGTAGAATCACGTAGTATAACTGTCGTCACTGAGGGCCACTGTTTGGTATTAGGGTAAGCTGGAAAGCCACCTCAGGAGAGGTGTAATCTTAATAATCTGACACCAGAAAAGAGTACATTTATTTTATATTTGTTAATGTCTCAAGATGAAACATTTCACTCGAAGCTGTAGGACATCTTTGTCCATTCACATTTAGATAGACTACATTTACAATTAATGAATTTTAATATGTTCCAGATCACCCACTGCTATATTAATAATAAATGGCTTAACATGAAATCATCCAGCCAGTATAACACAGTGGCAACATAGCATAGGGGCTCAATGTGGACCCTTGAGCCAGTCTTACGTGGCTTCAGATACATGCCCTACAAACTATTCCTTTAATTGAGAAAAATTATATTATTATAGCATAGTATTTACATATAATGTAAACAAAAAAGAAAACAAAAACAATCCTACAGAAGCTTTCACTTTTCCATTTAACTGTTTATTGAGTATTTATTATCTGTTAGGCACTGGGCATACAGCAGCAAAACAAAAAAACCTCTGGTCTTATGAGCATGCATTATATAGGGGAGACAGGCAATAAAGAAATAAATTAATATGCGGTATATTCCACAGTCCCTTATCTGCAATTCCAAAATCAAAAAGCTCTGAAACTGATAGTTTTTGCCACTCGTAGAGTGATAAAACCTGACCTAATCTTAACTCCTTTAGTAGTAAAACTATGAGGCTATTTATTTCTTCTTAATTATCACTTAGAATGCATGTTTTGCTGTAGAGATATTGACATATTTTATTTCAGAGTGCCATCCTAGATTGCTCATATTGGGGGGCAGGGGTTGGATGCTTGTTATACAATTATAGTATATTTACCATATTACCTTTAAAAACTCAAATAATACTTAATTCCAAAACACATCTGGCTCCCATAGGGATTGTGTTGAGCTGCATAATATATAGAAATTGTAAATCCTATGAATAGAAATGAAGCAGATAGGGGTATGAGGGCCAGTAGGTAAAAGGGCGAGTGTGTGTGTTTGGGAGGGGTGGGGGCGGAGGAGGAGTTATTTAGCTGGAATAGTGAGAGAAGACCTCTCTGGGAGGTGACAATTGGAGCATATTCTGAAACCCGCAATGGAGCTCTCAAGGGAAAAGAAAGTGTTGCAGTCGGTGGGAACAGACATGTGGCTATCTGGGGGAAAGGTCCCAGTCTGACAGAAGACAAAGGTTAGGGTCCTGAACCAAAAGTGTGCTTAGCATATTGAGGAAGAACAGGAAGGCCGCAGGGCTGTAGAATACCTGTCAAGGAAAGTGTGACTGGATAGGCTGTCGGAGGTAACCAGGGGCCCAATCGTCTAAGGCCAGATAAGACCATTGGATATTACCTTAAATGTTATGGGGTATCTTTGAAGGGTTTTGACCAAAGCTGTGTCTAAAATCCAATTTTCTTTTTTTAAAAATATCACTCTGTTGCTCTGTGGATAATAAAAATATCACTCTTTTGCACTGTAGATAATAGATTTTTGCAGTAGTGGGGACTGGAAAAAATAAATGATCATGACTGGATGAAATTCAGAAATTTAATAATTGGTCATTTTTAATAAATACTACAATATATCTTAATCATAGTTTAATTAAATAATCTCTCTTAGATATCCACTGAGCAAGTCTATGCTTTCAATTAGTCATCTAAAAAATAAACTATCGTGTTTCTTGTTCTAGATTTTTCTCTAAACATTGCAGCTGAGAAATTAGCTTGGGCATGATAATGCTCTTCCCAATCTCCTACCATCTTCCAAAGATTCTTCTCTTCTACCTGCTAGGAGACAGCTGGAGGAAAGAGCCCTGAACTTGCAGCAATAAGAACTGGTTTCTTGTGCTGGCTCTGCCACTAATTGGTTGTAACATCAGTTGAGTTAACCTCTCTGGAGCTCAGCTTCCTATAGTGTAAAATAATGGGGATTGAATTATCTGGTTGATGTAGCTCTTTCTTACCTGTACTCATAAATTTAGCAAGTCCTGTATGTAAGACTAAAATTCTATGATTCTTAATGAAACGTTGTAAAAAGTCTCAAAATATCCTTAAATATGAGTCTAAGAAAGTATAGAATAACTGCTATCTGTTCAAAATTGGTGAATTTGCCCTTATTTCCTTTTTAACAGGACCAAGGAAATAAATACCACAGCCAAGAGCACAGAATATTTCCTTCATCAACCCATAGAATCCTGAGACTTCTCTAATTCCATCAAATAGAAAGGAATGACCACATTGGCAGATGGCCACAGAGGATGTCAACAATTTTTTGCAGGCAAGCAATGAAATATTTGTGCTATGAGTTTTCTATTTCTAAGTACATAGAAACAAGTAGAATTATGTTTTAATGAAAAAACTACGTGTTCTTTAATATAGTAATTTATATAAACTATTTCTCCCTTTTTTTTTCTGGGCATTGTTGCAAGTCAAAAATTACATTAAGCTAAGCTGCTTTTGCCCTTACCTGGAGTATTATATGGTACAGAGACACATTACATCCCTAAATGCAGAATAAAATTTTAAATAACAGAAATTAAGTACCATGTTTGAAAACAGGGCTCTTTGTATCTATCTTGGACACACATATCATCTAGCTACAAATACTAAATAGTTTGGGAAGTTAGAATCATTTTCTATTTATTTTTAAATTGTCTATACCATTTATGATTTTATTTGTTTTAATTCCTGCTTTTTTTTTTTCTGTCTTATTTTTAACAACTATCCTAAAGTGTTCCAAAATCTTGGGAAGTCATCCTTTTACATCCCTCACAGCTTTACATTTTGTGAGAATTCTACATCAAAAGATCCCATTGAATTTTTAGTTACTTTCACAGCTGCTCTTTTCCTGGAAAAACAGCCAGTCAAGGAATATGGACCAGAGTGCCACCTTCTAAATTGGAATTAATTACTTTACCCTTTAAAGGGAAAATTTGCCTGGAGAGAAACTGACTGTATTTTAAAGAAAAAAATTATAAATATAAGGACACTGCCTTCTCCACCATCATGAAAAATAAAGACTTAAGTCGATGAATATAAAATGAAACAAAGTAAACTCATAAAAATTTAAGTAGAATTCACTAAAATTGAATCTTGCAAAGCATTTTGTATAAACAAAGAAACTACAGATTTGCTCAGAATTTTTTATTTAATGTTAATTCAACTCATAGGCCTAAGGTCATCCAGCAAACAAGCCTGCTTTTTAAGTAGTACATAGCGGAACGCTTTCTAACTAAAGGAGAACGTAAATGTTTAAAAAACCCAGTGTAGAGCTTCTGAGTTTTCTTTCAGTAACTGAAGTCAAAATTAATTCTTGCTTTTCTGTTGGGGAAAATTTCATCTAATTACATTCAAATTATTCTGCAACTTTTTGGACAGCAAATCCTGATCACCAAAGAAAAGAAAGCGCAGCTGTGTTGCCTTTGCCTCATAGTTATAATAATAGCATTATTATGCAGTCACTGGGCTTTATAGAACCCAAAGTGGTTATCCGCTGGCTGCCTTCTGGTAGAGACACACCTAACCTTTCTAAACCGCTGATAATGTATGCCTTCTGTTTGTAAGCATCTTCAAAAAAATAGATTCCACTGCTTCCTTAAGCAAACCAATCTAGTATAACAGCTCTCAGGAATAGGAAGTTCTTTCTTATAACCCTTTGCATACATTTATTAAGTGACTGTTTCTAAAATTTGTTTTCTTAGAATTATACTTTAATCATGATTTAAATCTTAGTTTAATACAATTCACTTAACTATTTAAAAAAATAGTTAAAATTGACCATTGATAAATTAGTGGAAATAGTTGCCATAAATAATGCTTCTCCATAAGCAACATATTGTCAAATTTCTTTCTCTAATATTTCCTTTTTTAACTTGTCCATATGTCGCATCTTATTTTGATCTTGTTATTCTTTAACCACAACAACATATCTTGTGTCAGATAGCGCTAATTTATATTTATTCCACATGAAGAACCAGCCCTTTGTTCTCTTTTAATTTCATTCTGTCTATGACCATGTCATTAGTAAGCCACAGATATTTATAATTCTAATCAAAAGTGCTGACAACTTTTATTTCCCATATTTTAAGGTATATTTTCAAATTACCATAGTGAAAACTTTTAGTAGTTAGAAAGGCAATTACAACAAAGCACATATGACTTATATGTAAGACATTCATAGAACAGATTAAGACTGATTAACCACAACTGTGCCAACTCACCACCTGCGTGACCTTGGGAAAATAACTGATTCTCTTTGATCCCCAATTTTTACATCTTTAAAATCTGGATGCCAACAATAATATAATTGTATGGATTAAATGGGATAGATAATGTAAGTAAAAAGCTTAGATGTTTATGACTATCACATAATTCAATAAATAGGTGATGTACTTATTCTACTTTTTGCAAAATGATTGAAAGCAGGTTTCCCCATAGTTAGCTTAGCTCTTACAAAATAAACAATGGATTTGTCCATTATACTCATGCCAAATGTCTTTTACATTATTATGGCTGCATTGGTATTAAGTTTTGTTTACATTGAAGTTTCCCAACAATCAGTTTAAAGTTTATGTTCAAACTTCTGAAAATGCAGTTTCTCCAGAAATCATGGTTTGAAAACACAGTCGTTAAAAAAAATGGCTGTTAACCTTTGAGTTTCATGAAAACTATGTAAATCACAAATTTTGCAAGAAATTTTACTTGGGTGTTCATGGACTCACTGCATTTTGTAAAATTTTGACTTTATAACAACTGCTATTATTTGGAGAAATATTCCATGTGTAAAGCAGAAAGAGTTGAAGAATTTTCTTCTTGGGGTTAAATACCTTATGTATACATTGTTCAGATGTTTATTCAGTCTGAGAAACTGATTTGATATTTCCACTAAAAAAAAAAAAAAAGAAACAGGTAATTTGGTTCTTTGTATTGATTTCCTAGGTGTGCTGTAACAAATTATCACAAATTGGGTGGTGTAAATTAATAAAAATGTATTCCCCCGCATGTCTGAGGCTAGAAATCTGAAATTAAGTTGTCCTTAGGTCTGTGCTCACTTGAAGTCTCTAGGGGAGAATCTGTTCCATGCCTTTCTCTTAGCTTCTGGTTTTGCTGGCAATCCTTGGCATTCTTTGGTTCATGGACTCATCACTTCAGTCTCTGCCTCTCTCATCATGCGGTTTTCTCCCTGTGTGTCTGTATCTCTTCTCATCAGGCCCACCCTAATTCAGCATGACCTCATCTTAACTTGATTACATCTGCAAAGATTCTGTTTCCAAATAAGGTCATTTTCATAGGTGTCAAGGGTTAGGATTTGAACACATCTTTTAGGGGTAGGGGACACAATTCAACCAACTGATAACACTGTCTATATCTATATAGATACTGATTTTAAAAACAATTTTCTTCTCCTATACAAGTGGTTGTTTTCTTGTGATAAGACATGATCTAAGAGTAGATGAACAAGTTTTGCTTCTAATGATTTGGCCGTGCTGTTTCTTGAACATAGTTTCTTGATAATACTTTTCCTCATCAACTCAATAGCTCAATTTTCTAAAATTATAGAACAATAGCTATCATGTTGTTTGTTTACTTGAGATCAGAGTTCAAATAATAGGGTTACAATTTTATGATCAAAAGCTTGTGTCCATGTTATATGTATCAACAAATGAGATGCCCTAAAGACATTAGAGATGGTATGGCATTTGCATTTATAACTGTACTGAGAGTTATGCTCTATAAATGAACTGAGACAGCTTTTCCTTTGCAATGCTTGATTTAAAACAGGACTACTTTTTATTTTTCTGAGTAAGAAATTCACTTTAAATTAAAATTAAGAAAAATTGTTGACCTTTCAAAATAAACATAGCCACTATATATTTTTGACATTAATTCTACCACTTATTCTAGTAAAGCTCATTCCAGGGAAGTCATTCTAATATAAACTTAGTATGTGGTATATAGATCATCAGTACATTTTTATAATATTTTTTATGGTCATCTCCCATATATTTGGACATTTGTTGCAGGTTTTTCATGTAATAAAACTTACACAGTGTGTACACTCATATTTCAGCACTTCGATGAAAGGATTTTACATGTATTTTCTTCTCTATGAGCCTCTGAAAGGGAAGGGAGTTAAAGCATCATAAAATCCTATTGTGGAGTCCTCGTGTTTTTACATTTTTACATGAAACACATAAATTTTCTAAAACATGATTTTCATGCAGGTAAAACCTGCTTGGAAATATTCTTTACATATAATAGTCACTCAATAAATGTTTCCATTCATGAATGAAGGAAATTGTAATGAGCCCTTCGGCTTGTAGACACTATAAGCTAACTCAGTTAGATACCTTTATGTTCAATATTTTCCTTCAATTTAGTATAAAACATAATCAGAGATAGGAACTAGAGAGTTTACAATGGTGGAAAGTGGAGATATATTATTTATTTCCCAGAACTTTTCAGTAAACTGAAAGATTTAAGGCTTTGGTTTATATTTTTACCTCATTTTTCAAGTGAAGGTTGAAAGTTTGGGGGGAAAAAACATAAAGTACATTGTTAAATGAGCAGTTGACTATGTATTTAGAGATTGAGATTTGGTTTTCTAAACTATGGATTAATGACTAGAGTAGTGATTCCTCACCCTGAGTATGTCCCCTGGGGAGCTTTTAAAAAACATTGACATTTTGGCCCTATCTCTATGGGTTAATCTCAATTCTTCTAATTACTAGCTATGTGACTTTGAACATTATTTAGTCCACAGAACCAGATTCTTTAGAAGTGGAGATGGTACAAGAGTAGTGGACTTTTGGATAAAAATGTGTCTCACAGAAATTGGAAATAAATATTTACGTAGAGACATGTTGATCTAATTAGGAAAACTGAACTAAAAAATAAAGGATTTGAGGAGATAAATACGCAAATTGAACAAAATAAGGACTTTATAATATCTCATATGAAGAGTTTCAGTAACTATGAAGTAAATACTCTATTACTGGTAAAAAATACATGGGCAAAATGTTTAGAAATTGTACTTTTGCCTCAAACGTCTATATTCCAAGGCCCAGGGTATGACTGAAACTGGAATTGACTGATTTCTTAGGTGGTGAATTTAGCATCGATAGAGTGTTCCCAGTGGGATTGAATAGCATTCCATAGGAGTGTGACAGTGGTCACTATCCTGGTGCTCACGGGTAAGATAGGGATGGCTTATTATGGGAATTTTATGGATTGGAAAACCACTAAGACCCTCTTTAACTGTAATATTCTATG